TTCTCTTCATCAACTTTTGCTCCTGCCACTGTTAACACTAATGTGTCCATATTTTTTTTAGTTCACAACGTGATCGCGACACTGGTCTACTAAAATATTAATTTAATAGTTAGAATTTAGTACCATAATTTCTTTAAACTCAAGGGACTGAATTAAAAAAGGGCAAAGAACTATGCTGGAACTATGAATTAATAATTTTAAAGCAAAGATCCTTTCAAATTAACGTGTTGCTAAATTTTGGTGTGGGTGTGTTTTAGGTGGGAGATGGTAACAGTGACCACTACTGTTGGCAAAGGCCAGAGGATATGACCACCGACCGTCATGCTTACAAGATTGACCCTAACCCAGGGTCGGATCTCGCCGGTGAAACCGCAGCAGCCATGGCTGCGGCCTCAATCGTCTTCCGCCGCTCAAACCCTGCATATTCCAGTGAGCTTCTTCGCCACGCCTACCAGGTATTTTACACAAGTCTCTTTTCTCACTCTCTTTAGCTAACTGTTTCCTGACACAATATTGGGTGTGGACCATTGGACCCGCCGTTGCAATTTAACTCAAACTATGCCTTTCATTAAGTTACATCTAATGAAAAAGGGTGTCATTGGTGGATTATTCCTGGTTTTCAAATTGAAAATTATATGGGGGTAAAGTGTTCGGCGCATAATTTGATTCATGGTATCACTTTGACCTGTCCATCACGGGTAATTGTAATTATGACCGTACAGATAAATCGTACTAGCAGATCTTATTCGTTTCTCACGCGCCAAGTTTGTCGGTGCTCCAATTAAACCTCAATTACCCTTACATCACCTATCCATGCCCCTTAACAAAAAATTTCATAGAATTAATAATGTTGTAGTAATATATTGAATTTTCTTTTCTGTTTTCAGCTATTCGAATTTGCTGATAAATACAGAGGCAAATATGACAGCAGCATCACAGTTGCCCAAAAATACTACCGATCCGTCAGTGGCTACAACGTAAGTTTCTGCATTTTTTTAAAAATTTGATTAATGGTAGAACATGTCATGTTAGTATGGTTGATGAATCAATTTTGGATTTGGATATTTTATAGGACGAGTTGTTGTGGGCCGCTGCATGGCTTTACCAAGCTAGTAACAACCAGCACTACTTGAACTATCTTGGAAACAATGGTGACTCTATGGGTGGAACCGGCTGGGCCATGACTGAGTTTGGTTGGGACGTCAAGTACGCTGGGGTTCAGACCCTTGTCGCCAAGGTATTGTTTTTCAACTGCTAGTTCGAATCCATATATTATCAAAACAATAGTTGGCTATGTCTCATCAACAAGTAATTAATTGCTTTGATTAGCTGACTAAGTGGAATGTTTTGCTTGCACTGTAGTTCTTAATGCAAGGTAAAGCTGGTCTCCATGCACCAGTATTTGAGAGGTACCATGAGAAGGCAGAGTACTTCATGTGTTCATTGATTGGAAAGGGTAGCCGTAATGTCCAGAAGACTCCTGGTGGTTTGATTTTCCGACAGAGATGGAATAACATGCAATTCGTAACTAGTGCCTCGTTCTTGGCCATTGTGTACTCCGACTATCTCACGTCCTCTAGCGGAAGCTTTAAGTGTGCTGCTGGCAATGTTGCACCATCCGAGCTTCTTTCTTTTGCAAAATCTCAGGTGAGTACTTATCTCTTCGTGTATTTAACTCATGTTTTTTTGTGAATGGTAGCAAGTTTCAGACTTCAACAAATTTTCTGATGTTTTACAATGTTAAATTCTCAGGTGGATTACCTTCTTGGAGACAATCCAAGAGCTACAAGTTACATGGTTGGTTATGGGAACAATTACCCACGACAAGTTCACCACCGGGGTTCTTCAATTGTTTCAATCAAGGTTGACCCTAAATTTGTTGCCTGCCGGCAAGGTTATGCCACTTGGTATTCAAGGAAAGCAAATGATCCTAATGTCCTCACTGGTGCCTTGGTTGGAGGGCCTGATGCATACGATAATTTTGCTGATGAAAGGGAGAATTATGAACAAACAGAACCTGCTACCTATAACAATGCTCCCCTTCTTGGCATATTGGCTAGACTAGGTGGTGGACATGGTGGTTATAACCAGCTCCTTCCTGGTATGTATAGCCTGTATACCCATTTAAGTCGTATGGTTTTAACTTTTTCTTTCACGCGTATTCCATCAATCAGGATGATCATGATATTGGCTTTTCCTGCAGTGGTTGTCCCAGCTCCTAATCCTGTAGTTGTCAAACCAAACCGGCGTCAAAACCCAAATTGACTCCAAACTCCAGGTATTTCCCTCAAACATTGGAGTTGGTAAACATTATCTTATGAGTCAGGACACGCAATTTCCCTAATTGATAAATGGATGTGTGGTTCTATTCTCATTATAATAGGCTATTAAATGTCAGGATCTGACTCGGGAATTTTGTTTTACAGCCTCATCTTCTAGTCCAATTACCATAGAGCAGAAGATGACAACTTCCTGGAATGACAAGGGAAAAACTTACTACAGATATTCCATAGTAGTGACCAACAAGTCTAACAAGACTGTGAAGGATCTCAAGCTTTCTATATCAAAGCTTTATGGTCCTCTATGGGGACTCACTAAGTCTGGCAATTCTTATGGTTTCCCAACATGGCTCAGTGCTCTACCAGCTGGAAAGAGTCTTGAGTTTGTATACATCCATTCTGCTTCTCCTGCTGATGTCTCAGTTTCAAGCTACAATTTGGCTTAAGAAAGGAAAAAATTGCAAAAAACAGAATAAGGTCCCCATGGTTGATGGGGTTGTGGTGTAAAATTGTGCAGCTATTTATACAGAATGTGGTCCAGAATTTTTTTTTTTCCTTTTTTTTCTTGTTTGGGAATTTTAACTTGTTGATTTGGTATTTGATTAGGGATCTAGCTAATATTAGGTTAAATAACGTTGAAGATGGGAGGAGAAAGGAGTGAAGAGACGAATTAAAAAGGAGTGCTCATCCTCTTTCTCCTTCATTTCATTAGTTATATATCTAATAGATAGGATTCAGAGAAAGTGAAAAAAGAGTGAGAATTGAGAAGTAAACGAATGACTTCTCCATAGATTGCAAGGAGTCTGTTTCTTATTTGTACTTGAAAGCTGCTAATGTCCTTTTTCTTTCTGTGTTTGTTGTAATGCTGCAAGCTTTGCAGCATTTTATAATTTCCATATGAATACAGTTTGCACAACAATGTTTTGTCAATCTTCTCTTGTTCAAGATTCAATGGGAGTTCAGTTGTTGCTTTTGTAAAGATTTCCCTATGAACTAATGGACATGCTATCATTCTAATGGAAGTTTCCTATTATCAAATTGGAGCTTTCGTTTACTCTACCATGATGATAACAATGGTCTCTATTGCTATTACATAACAACTTCAAAGCAAAGTGAAAAGAAAGAGTGAAAGACGAACACTTCAATCAGAAAAGGAAAAGAAAGACCTAAGACTCGAGCATAGGAGATGCAGCAGCTTTACTTGTCAACTCAACTACAATGACACTAATGTTATCGGTGCTCCCTCGAGCAATTGCTAACCCAGCTAGCATGGCTGCAGCCTCTGCTGCACGATCTCCGGTGCATCCTTCGGGAAGATATGAAAATCTCATCATTATTTGTCCATCAAGATATCTTTTGACAACTTCACATACAATTTCATTGGAAACAACATCCCACAAAGCATCACTTGCTAATACAACAAAGGTGTCAGACTTAGTTCGCTCAGTCACAGAGACCTCTGGTTTCGAGATCGCATATGGCTTCAAATACTGATCCCCTGCATCAGATTAAGAACAGCTCCAATGGATCTAACTTTCAAATATCGATCGATAGGATTTTCCAAATACCTATGGATCGCGAAGTGGCAAGAACTCCTAGGACACGACTTCCATTCCAGTTTACGACCCTTCCTCCAGCTGCTTCCACTCTTTCCCTTTCATCAGGTCTATCAGGCTGTGTAAAAAATCCCACAAAAAGCCTCATGTAAAATTAAATGAATAAAAGATTAAGTTCCTACTATACTACAGGTATCCAACCACAGAATCAACCCTATTACCCTGGTTTGCTTCTTGTCTCACAGTAATAGTTTGAACTAGAAGAGGACGATTTGGAGTTGTGCATTGCTACCAATTTAAGATTATGAATTTTAAAATGATACAAAGCATCTCTCATGTAAAATCTCTTGTCAATCACATTCTTTACTTTATCATTCATTTTTTTCTTATTTAGTCTTTTCTTTTAAAATACTTGCACCCATCTAATTACTATAGAAAGAAAAATCTTTAGCCTTTTCTTAAAAAATCTAGGTTTGAAATTGAACAAAAACTAGGTTGTTTCTTGTTACATTCTTACCCGCAATACTTTCAATGAATACTCATATAATCCCCACTTCCCTTCAACTGAAGATTAATGTAGTTCATTTCACATGATGTTCGTGCAATAGAGACCATTGTTCATGCAATAGTGTTCTTTTTTTTTTTCTTAAAAAATCGGCCACTTGGATTAGCTTCTAATTGCTAATCATTTCATCAGAATAATCCTAAGTCATCTCAATTTTCGATTCAATTCCAAGCAAAAATTTTTAAAGAACTACTGTAAGACATAAAAAATTGACCTTATGATCACGGGACAAAGCCACCGCAGTGCCGCCACGGCAGAGAACAGCTCTTGAGTCACCACAGTTGGCCACCACCAGCTCCTCCTTCCCGACCAACACCACTACCGCCATAGATCCCATCGTTTTCAGAACCACATTCTCTGCCCCACCCTCATCACCGCTCACCTCCTCGTCCATCTTCCCAAAACAAGCTGTCATCACCTTCTCCCATTCCAATACCTTACCTCCACGTGTCGTCTCCTCTACGTCCTTCACCACCAACCGGTGCATCCTATCACGGCAAGCGTTAGCCACCCCTGCCCCACCATGCCCATCATACACAGCAAAAAAGTCATACCCTCGTATCTCTCCAACCGACACCTTCACGGCGTCTTCCATCACTCTCCGCCGTCCGATCACCGATATAAACCCATGTGACATGCACGTGACACTCTCTCCCTTATCTTCTTCTCTCTTCTTCTGATCGTTTCCAGGCATTTCTGTCAACTCCCCTGATTTTAACTCATTGATGTCTCTCTTTTTCGTTTTAAAGTAGCCATCCATCACCACTTCGGAACCCATCACTCTTTTCGCTTTGTATCCCTTCTTTAATTACATACTGAACTTCATTTCACCATTGATGATCAGTTTTTTAATGGTTTTTCTTCTTTTTTTTTCCTTGAATTTTAGTTTTAATGCAGAGACAGAGAAGGTAGGCAAGGAATCGAGAGTTTTGAGTGGGCATGAGAAATGATGTGGACCATTGGATTAATGGTCCCTTGATGAGATGAGTGCCACGAGTTCCGAAATTCGGTTTCTTTTACAGGTAAAACAAGATGGTCTAAAATAAGACGCGGTAGTTTAAAGGACTCACGCGGCAATTATCTGTCCGACAAGAGTTGGTTAATTTTGGCGGGAGACAATGTTGGGAGTTTCGGACCAGTGTTATTTCCTTGGAAAAGAAAACGTGGATTGGGATCATTGTTTTTAGGCGCTCCAAGGGACATGGTCTGCGTTTAGGACATGATACAAAGAGCAGAAAGATTTTGGTTGATCACTTTTGATGGCAATTGACGGCCGATGTTTGCTTTGGATATGGTCTGCTGGCAGTGGCAGTAGCTTATGATCTGATACATGCGCCGCAATTCGTTTCTCTTATTGACAACTGTGCAAGAAACTCCAAGCCGACCGAAAATATCGATCAACTTACCCAAGAAAATCTTGGAAATTATCCAATCCATTTTAATTGTTTAAAATTTTAAATTATATACTTATATGTATATATACACAGCACTAGATTTCTGGGGGTTAGTTGTTCTTTATTTAGTTTACCTGGTTTTTGCTCGTTATTTGTGTTTCCGTTAGCTTAATTAATTGATTATGCAGAATTTTGCATGTTTATTATGTCATATGAACTTCACAAGAGGAAACACCGAATGAATTGAAGATATATGGTTGTAAAGAGATAAGTAATAAAATTTTTTTAATTTGAAAATTAATTTAATTGATTCATGTAATTACTTTTAAAATGATGTTTAATAAATTTAAATTTTGATATTTATAATATGTTTTTCTATATCAAGCTTTTTAATAAAAATACATTTTTCTTGTACAAAAAACATTTTTCGACCTTTTATATATATTATATATTGCAACTGACAAATTAATCTAGAAAAGTAGAAGAACAAGATTGAAGTATAGCAGAGATGGCTGTAAAGACATAAGTAATACATTTCCCTTTTTTCTTTCTTGTTTGTTTTCTCAAATAAATAAAAAATTATGGATGTAAGCAAATAAAACACTTGTTGAACTATTCATGAACCTGTTCGGTTACAATTTGTTCATTAAATTAAAAATAATTTTAAATAAAATTTTAAAGTTCATTTAATAAATAAATAGAGTTCAAACATTAATATGTTTAGGTTGGTTTATGTTGTGAACAAGTTTATTAAGTTCATTTATGAATAAACTCAGATAAAAATTTGATAATGATATATTTTGCTATTGTTAAGTAAGTTCATTGTAACTTTAATATCTTTTAATATAATCCAAAACATGATTTAAGATTTGTACAATTGCAAAGTACGCATTTTATGGTAATCTTTTATGTACTTAAAATTGGAGTTATGATAAATTTTGAAAAAAAAAAAAAAAAACGAGGAGAAACTTTTCTTCATAGTCTCTTTAAGCAATTCCATATAGATAGGAAATCAAAACAAAAGGAAAGGTTGATTCTATATTTGCCACTGCCCATTTTCGCTTAGATTGTTGGCTTATCAATTTCAGGCAGCATTTTTATGTTTTCTAGATAATTGAAATTTCAAGTCATGTTTAATGATTTATTTAAAAAGCTTGTTTGAGTTCAACTAAAAATTATTTGTGTTCATCTAAATTTAGCCAAATTGATTTTGAATGAATTGATATTGATATCCGACTCGATTCATTTACAACCCTATCAAAGATTAAAGTATAGCATAGAAAATTACTTGTCATATAAAATCCGCCTTTTATGTAAGAGATTTAATTGCAGGTAATATGAACCCCCCCCCCCCCCCCCCCTTAATACGGGTATTGTAACACTCAATCTAATTGAAATTGAGAGAGAATATACATTTTAAGGCAATTAGCTGATTATAGATATAACCAAAAGAAGATTTTACAATTGCTTTATTATCTTTAATTCTTTTGATGAAAACTGTTTTCGCTTCTCAATCACACTCTTTCATCCCTTTCTCGTGTGCGCGAAGGATGGTAAAACTGCAAAAATTTATTCTCAAGAAAGAAAGATGTGAATCAGAGCAAAAAAATAATAAGAGAAATTGCAATAATGTCGTGTCACCAAATACATTTTTCTACTTATAGATTGAGGCCAAAAAATTAATAGTAAAGCAAACAAAAAAAGTTAATTTTAAATAATTAATTTTATATTTTTATGACAATTGTAATGATTTTATTTTAATACTCCATTTGGGAAAATAAATTTTATCTAATTTGCGAGAGTATCATGCCAAATTAGGAACCGAACAACATTTGGGGTTCATAACCTTGAACCAAGAAACTACTGTATGTTTGACGTTTTATCCGCAGGTCCTTTTTTTTTTTTTTTGATAATTTTCTCTGCAGTTCATT